GATTAAAATGGTCCACCTTGTATATATATATATATATCACGAACATCCATGTATATCACAAATTAAATTGAAAGAAGGCCAATATGGTCATAGCAGGATCTTGATGCTTCTTATATTTCTGTGTGATTTTACATATATATTCTAGTTTCAACGAACTGCGTGCCATTACTTTGGATTCAACACAGCTCTTTGCTTGAAACAGAACTGTATTATCACGATTACTAAATTGATAATCAATTTAATAAATACTGATACTCATCGGCATATAATAAATCCCCCCTGTATATATAGTAAAATATTTTAACCTAGATTTTTGATAATTTTCATGGAAATAAATAAAATTGCCATGTATTAGTTATCTTATTTAAGTATATTAAAACGAACAAAATAAAATGCTACATTGGAAGCATTTATCATATATGCCCTGTTTCAATAAGTAATGAATCTAATAAAATCATTAGATTTTCAGTTAGGAAGGGCTGATATATCCATGCTGCAAGATGGAGCATCTTCCAAGATTCTGTATAATTGTGAGCAACATTTTCAAGTAATTTGCGTTTCAATTTAACTTCCATATAATATGCCTTATATATTTTTTCTGCTACCTCACCTAAACATTTTAAAAGTATTTTATATGTATTATTAATTATAAGAATGGAAATTTATTTGTATAAATATGTATTGATTACAATATATTGACTTAATAACATTTCTAACAAATGTTAGCGATGTTCTAACAGTTTGCTAGATCTTGCAGGTAGAATATCAGCAGATTGAAGAATTAATTATGTTTTTATTGTTCTTATTTTGTCAGTAAAGTCTGCCAATATAAATTGAAAGCAGATTGTTAGAAACGAAGGCTAATCTGACTTATTTCGTAATCATTTAATAAGTATATTGGCTCATATTTAGAAATAATTTAAAAAAATTAGAAAGAGAAAAGGCCAATAAAATGAGCAAATGTTAGAATATAATCATATCATTTAATTTGCCAATATTAAACCGGACGTTTTGATTTGACTCTGCTTCAGCTGCAAAGACAAATTTCAATCATAATTTCATCATAAATATATAACATTACTTTAAACACATACTTTAATAAGGCTGCAAATGTAAATTTTAATAGATATATTACATTAATTAAACCAGGAACTATGTAACTTTTTACTATTAAGATAAACTATGTTCTATGCAAATATGATTAAGAAAGTCCATGTAGATTTAATGATTTAAAAATTGTACCATAATTTTGTACATTCTGAATCCATAATTTTTGTCTGACAAGAATTCATAGCATCTAATATTTAAAATAAGATTGCTGTCTGAAGTTATTGTTATATTAATTTTTTTTTTTTAATTTGGTAATTGGTTTCAATTACATCGATGGATCAGAGATAACCTTGATATGTAGACTTCAAAAAGATCTTCTCTGGTCAATATTTTTATGACTGATTCTATAATAATTTAACTAATTACCAATTAAGGATTGTTAACATTTCTTGTTTGCTCGTTTTATTCCCTTTCATTTCTAATTCCATAATTGTATTATTTAAATAATTATAAAACAGCAGATTCTATTCGATTTCTCCAGTCAATCTGTCATCATATTCTGATAAGATTATATTTCTGCTAGTATTCTACAGAAAAATTTATAATTTATAGCAAATGTTATGTAAAGTTATATTTTTAATAGTTATGATTATTTAAGTTGTTCCTTACCAAATTTAGTTATTGGCCATGTTATAAACAATTTATCTTCAGTTTTCTGTAAAGCTGATATAGTTATTAGTTGATGCTTAATTTGGTCTAAGTTTTTAACTATTCCATCCTATAAATAAAATTACTTTCAATTATTTATATTGATAAATACATACATAATTCTAAATATAACCAAATATCAATCAAGATAAATCAAGATGATATTAATCTATACCTAAAATTTATATGTCTATATGTAAAAATCTATATGTAAAATTATAAAAATATGAATATATAAAAGAATATATAATATGGAATGCTTAAGATTTACTAAAGGAAAGATTTACCAGATTATCACAAATATTTTCTAACTTATCACATAAATCTTGTAAAATTTCAGAATGATTTTTATTATGTTTTTCTTGTGTTATATCTTTTATGTAAGTAATTCCTTGGATATGAAGATTGTTCCATTGATGTATATTTGCATGAATATCTACAGCTAAATCACGTACAAGACGTACGATTCCTGTTAAATTTCTTCCTTGAAATGATTTAGGCGAAAATACATCTGTAATAAATTTATTTTAATAAAATGCACCATTAAAAAATTGTAGTATATTTCTTCCTTAATATTTTATGTTTATAAATTTTTATACTAATCATAAAAAAGAATTACAATAAGAAATTGACAAGCCTACAAATATAGATTTTCTGTAATTTCGTGTTCGTAAATTTTATATGACTACATATCTACAAGAAACTTACTCATAGGAGAAAACATCTTTTTTGCCACTGTAAAGTTATAATTATTCACATACATAATATTTTTTTTATACTTTCTAATATATCTATATAGTAAAAATATAAATGTGAAAGGAAATCAATGATATTTAAGTCATAACATTACAGCAATAATATTTGCATTACACTTTTAAGGTGGTTCTTTAGTACAATGCCGAAAATTTGGAGTGCCTCACCAGGGCTCATCCAAAATCATAAATATTTGCATAATTTGAATGAAATATTAAAACTACGTCTATATGTAATGAAATAATATGAAACATACG